ACTTTGATGCTCTACCTAATTCTGTCCATACATGCAACCTCTAATGTTTTTCGACCGCAAGAAGTGCCCTAAACCTAAAACCCTAGAAAATCTGAAGCTTGAGGGCCTCAGACTGAGACCAGTACCAACATCATCATCAAGCTAAGCAGGCATAGTTCAAAGGAATAGCCGGAAACATAGGGTTTAGGGTTTAGGGATGAAAGTGCATGAGTGCAGCTAAAGTTGGTGGGGGCAAGCGAATGGAGCAAGCACATGTATCATTTGTCTCTTGTTCTGAGTTCAAGGCTCAGGACTCATTGTATGCGAGTACTACTTTGTCCTTAATACACTTCAAATTCGCGTCATAGACGTAAAGTTTATAAAGCAAGTAAGCCTAGAAGTGTTAATTGATGGTGGACTTTCACATACCAACATGGACTGGGTTATACTTTGGGTACTGCCCCCACCCTGCAACAGTCTACATTAGGGGTCGCAATAAGGGCCATAAACCATATTATGAATAGTATCCAAGTCTTACAGCGTGGGGGCAGTACCCAAATTATACTGCCATGGGCCATAATCCCCTTCCCTGCTCATATCAAACGGCCTCATTTCAATCTGAAGCCCGGGTATTCGTTTTCATTGGAGATTGTAACGCGTTCGGCGGGGGAGGGGCCGACCCCAAAGCCATTACTAGGATCCCCAGTAACCTAAACCTAGGCCCAGGACTAAAGAGGTCCCGCTTTGAATACAGCTCATTATTATGCAGAACTTAGAGCCACAAACGAAATTTGGCTTACTCAGCACTCTGTTAACTAAGGGTTCCAGAATTGTACCCGTGACTCCGGGCTCTCCCAACATAACGCCACCATGAACCTGATTTGAAACAATGTAGCCTCACTAGATTCTTAACCCGCGGGTGCAGTTTGACGGGTACAATCTTGACCCCCTTCATAAACCCTGGGGTGGGGTACTGAGCCCAGGGGCAAGGTTGGAGTGTGGATGGGTCCGCCAAAGGTGTCGGGAGCTCCGAAACCAACGTCGTCGTTCCTCGGGTCATGTTGAGAAAGATGTGTCTATATACATGCAAAAATTAAAAGGCTTACAGACCTGTATTTGCTTCTATGTATCTGTATATGTATATGTATATGTGTACGTGTATGTGTATGTGTATGTGTGTAAGCGTTCCACAAAACATGTGTATATACATATATACGTACTTGTTTACACATGTTCATGCTGAACTGTGTGTGTGTATATATATACACATATGTGCGTGAACCTGCTTTCTCCTGATAGTCATGCAAGTTATGGAAGTTCTAAGCCCCATAACATGGGCCGCATTCAACGAGAATGCACATACCGTTATGGCCCCGTCCCCGACCCCCAAACGTAGGCAACCAGATTCATGGTTGCATGGTTCAAGCAAATCAGTTCCAGCACCTGAGAAAACCGTTGTTGAAGGCTATGTCAGCCAGGATTTGGGGCAAAGACGCATGAGGTCGTCATAATTTGCCCTGTGGTGTTGAATTTGGAGACGGTCAACAGCTTGGAAGCGTGCGGAGAAAATGGAGCCCGGAAAAGAATTTGCTTGGAAAACGTCGCGATCCGCAAGACGTGGTGTGCACAACCCAATACGGCAATATGCGCTCTAAAGCCTCTAAACTCTAAATCGTAAATCGTTGACACAACACAGACTTTTTTCGACTTTCGAATCGCAGAACAGTGACTGTCCCTTGCGCGGCCTAAACAGGGCTTATGCCTGTGTGTGTCCCTACAACACAATACAGAGAGAGAGAGAGAGAGAGAGAGAGAGAAAGACAGATGACCATTGGTTAGCCCAGTGTGCAATGACTTCTGGTTGTCTACACCAACCAAATGTTCTAGGATCCGCAATAACTTAGGAAAAAAGAGGTGCCTTCTTGTTTGGTTATAACCCGTCCGGCTACCCTATCTCACCTGAACATCACTGGCCAGCCAAAAAAATGCTAAAACGCGACAACCTACAACATCATTCCAGATCATCCAAAATCCGGCGCTATGGCCAAGTACTGACATGGTACCTCCCGGATAGAGATTGCCCCTTTTGGGGGAATAATGGGACACTTAACTTAACAAACAACCACGTGACACATGAACCCTAGACCCTTCACCATGGTTGGGGGAAGGATGGCCCCAGGCCTGAACTACAGTGGATGGAGGAGGAATTCTTGCACAACCCGTATGCGAAGAAAAAATTTGCAAAACATTCGAAACCCCGCACCCCTTTTAACCTTGATAAAAAGACAAATTGAGTTGGTGCATGATTATGGTCATTTGTCCTAATAGGCTTCTTGCAACATCATTGCCAATATTCAAAGGTGGGTGCGGGGTATTATTAGGGGCAGCAATAAAATGGAGCAACACTTCCGCCATCAACAGTACTTTTGCTGCGTCGTGTATGTTGTTCAAGGAACCATTGAACCTACATGTCGAGAGCTCTATATGATATTTAACCCCTACGTTTCAAAATGGTAAACCCAATAATGTTTACAAACTAACATGGCCTACGTGGGCTGCACTGCCAAATAAAGCCATGCAAGACGAACGTGGAAAGTCGCCCTCAAACCTGTTGGACGGATTCCCAAAAGGGCCCGGGGATAAACATGAAATATTTTCGGACGTACCAAACAAAGAGGCCTTACAAGTAAACCCCTTGATTGCTTTTGCGGTGAGTATTTTGCTAGAGTTGTGACCTGTAGATTCTGCCTGCCAAGTTCAGACCTCTAGACTGTACTGTAACATTTCTGAGCGCTAGACTGTCTTCAACAAATTCCTCGCCCATAGCCTACATGAAAGGTTTAACATTTCAGAATACGTAGTTTGAAAACAATTATGCCCTGTAAACACAAGCACTTCCGCCATCAGGCTCCCCCGGAAAAGTTATGAATTGTAGACTGCCCCGAAAGAGTTTTTATCTGCAAACTGTCCCATAAAAGGTCAGAAACACTTGAGTGATTTCTCGTACACCCTATATATAAAAGTCATAAGTATACCCCCTATTACTTCCAGAAGGGCTCAGACATGTAGACTGCGCCTGAAAAGTGTTAACCTTTGACTGTGCCGGAAAGGTCATGGGCTGTAGACCTGTAGACTGTCTTCAACAATTATGGCCTGTAGGCACAAGCGATTCTGCCAATAGGCTGCCCCAAAAAAACTCTGACGCATAAACTGCCCAGAAGAATTTCTTGGGTGCAGACTACAACATGGTCCACTCATTGGGTCTGCCAAATTGCACTGCTTCCTGAATTCTAGATTCTAGAAATGATAGGGCCGAGGTCCTTTTCTTTACACGTTATAAAAATCGGCGCGGGCACTTTGTACAGCAGGTGATCCTGGAAATATTCGTTCCGAGGCTGCGTCAAAGGAAAAGGCTTTCCCTCGTACCACAGAAGCTGCATTGGCAACGAAATGACAGAAGTATCAAACTAAGCGGAAGGAACCTCGCTGAGGCGTGGCACTGTCAACGCCCAGCTACGAGCGCAAAAGCGAGAGGAGGAAGGACTTGCCTTCACCGCCAAAGCGGGCCATGAGCACGATGACTGGCACATCCTCGCGCATGCCCAGGGACATGCTTCTCAGGAGGCGCGTGCACAGATCCTGAATGCCCAGCTGGTTGCGCATCAGGAGCTGCAAGGCCGCTTGAAGCCAGGACCTTTGGCAAGCACGTGGTATACTCAGCGCATGCTGCAGTAGTTGAAGGCGGGTACGGCCATGGACCTCCAAGAAATCATCCACAGTTTCCCAGGACCAAACATCGTCAAGGATGCTTGGTAGTTTGTGGCAGTTCTTGAAGGCGACAGTGACAAGGGAGGGGGATCCATGTTGCTTCAACCATTGAATAAGTTTCTCGGCTGCAATATGGTCATCTGGCGTGTTGCGGAAGCCGTTGCGTACAATGATGGGATAAAAAATCCATCTCCGTAGGCCATGGTTCCGGCTTGTCCTCTGCAACTGCATGCTTGACCTTGTTCTCCCGACGCCTGCTCAACGCTGAAGCAGTACTTGGCTCCTGAGATGCTTCGAAAAGATCCCGATGAGAGCCTTCCCGGGCCCACTTATATGGAATTAGATCCAAGGCATCCTAAGGCTTTGAAGGGCTTGGAATGAATCCATACCTCACCACCAACCAATACCCCATATGAGTACACTTCCCATGCTTGGCCACATCATGGTTGATGAAGAGGGCACGCTCGTAAGCACTTTCCCAAAAAGGCTCCGACTTGTAAGCGGTCCAGAAACGCTTTAATCTGTAAACTTTTGCAAAAAATGCTCTAATCTGTAGACTTTTGCAGAAGATTTCTGACCTGTAGACGGCCCGCAGGAAACTTCTAGACTGCGGCCTGTCTCAGAAAACTTTTGGGTGGCAGGCTTTGCATAAAGGCGGATTTGGAACTGTTAAAGTTCCACTTTTGACAGTGCTGGCCAGGTGCTGTCTGTGTTATGAAGCCCCGCCCTCCTTGAAGAAATGGCCTTTGGCCTCAAGCTGGCGCTGGCAGCGACACTTCAAGTCGCCGACTGCTTTGAGGATGAATTCGCGCGGCAAGCCTGTAGCTGCGCGGCGCTGGTGCTGAGGCCGGGACTCGCGCTTAGCGGTTGACCACTTCGCCTCCTGACGCCTCAGGCGCCAGTTAATTTCCGACCAAATGCAAAAATCCATGGGGCTGAGATCAGGAGAGCGGCTGGGGAATGGAAAGTGTACAGCTGTTTGTCGCTTTTAGCATTTTTTCCCTTAGTAGATTGCAAGCCGCTGGGATCGCTGTCTTCCAGCACATTGTACTTACGCTTGCTGGGCCAAGCGTGCGACAAGGAAGCTTGCAATGGTCCACTATACATGTCGGCTGCAGCCTGTCCATTCCACCAACCTGACGGCACCACATGCCACACGAGGACTGGACCCTTGCCAACCGCACCGATTATTAAGGAGCTCTTCTAGCCGGCGTTAAGAGCCAAGCCTTTTTTGGGCCTCACGTACCTTCCGCTCAGACGAAGTCCAGGAGCCCGATACACAGCAAATGTGCGATGTTAATGTTGGCAGCCAGTTTCCGTGCATCAGAGGTGATGTAGGTTTTGAAGTGCTTACCGTCCAAGAAGGCCTTGGCGGCCACCATGCCAGTACAGTTGCCAAATGTCTCTAGTATCTTCGTTGAGTTACCTAACAGGTTAACATTAATTATGCGCAAAAAAGTTTGGGGAACTGTTGCCAAACAACACCACCAGAGATGCATGGATGTGGTTGTTCCACCACGACGCAGGCTTGCCCTTAAACTTCTTCGCAAAGGCGAACCGAGCACGAATGTCATCTGCAGTCAACAGGGGCTTCTCGCGTAATTTGCAAAAATAAATGCCGCGAGCATGAAGAGCTTGCAGAATGACGCGCTCCTTGGTTGATTTCCGAAGCATCTGCGCAGTGACATGGTACTCCGCGTTCGCTTTGGTGACGGGCTCATGTAGACGGCGAACCAGAAGATCTACTTGAGGCTCGGAAAGTAGATGTCGACGACCATGCTCTTTACGAGGAAGCTGCTTGACGGAGAGACGCGTGATATTAGAGTCGTTGCGCCCAAGGCGGTCAGCAATTTGGGATGGCTTCAACCCCTCGTCCTCGTACCGTTTTTTGGCCAGCCGAATCTCTTGAGATGACATTTTCTTCCAGGCCCCAACCATGATAACAAAGAAAAAATGCGGCAGGGATGTCTCGCCTTGCACAAATCTCGAACCAAAGCTACCTGACTGAGCACACTCACGAGAAACACGTACCAACTGGAAACCTGTGCTCGTTAAACGCCTACAGGGCAAGAATGGGTTAGTTTCTGTTACAGTGAGAAAGTCGTGCGTGAAACGTTGCTTATTCAGAACAACCTTGCAACGCAAGTCCCACAAAATGCCCCCAGGCTAGGATTTGCCAAGACGGGCAACTTACAGAACGCTTTTACACATGGATGCCAATTAATTAAGGCGCAGCAGCAGACCTGGTTATGAAAGGGCTTACACACCACCCCTTTTTAGCAAGACTCCACCTTCACATGCCCCAGATCAATCTTAACCCCAATAGAGATGTCCGCGACATGGGCCGGTCGGCCGCTTAATGTCGTAAAAATACTTTGGCAGCTTATACCGTGACGGTGGATGGAGGAAATCTTGCACCACCCCTATGCTAACAAAAGGAATGTAAAGCATTTAAAACCCGCGCTCCTTTCTAGCATTGATAACAAGACAAATTGAGGTGCTGCAAGATTTTGGTCATTTGTCCCAATAGGCTTCTTGCAGCATCATTTCCCACTAAAAAAACGGGGGTGCGGGGTATCATTATTAAGGGCAGCAAAAAAGTGGTGCAAGATTTCCTCCATCAACATTAAGTCCCCAACCAATCTGCAATTCCAAGACCTCCTTGACCTCATTGGCCAGACACCAACCCTGAAACGTTGAACCTTAAACTTACTGGGGTGTTTTTGGGAATAAGGAAATAACAATTATAGGTGTTATCTGGGGATTCTATCCAATTATTCCCGACTAACTCTGAGTTAGCAAACCCGAGCTTCATGATCACGACGATGTTAGGGGCATCCTTCTTCAGTGGATGACGCTTAGGAGGCCAGCTGTTCCTGGGAATTTTGCGGGAGTTGCTTTTTTCGGGTGGTTATAGTATGAGGTCACTCTTCGAGGATGTGTATGGGGCTTGGATAACGATTACGTACTGTAATAAACGGTTGAGGTTTTCTTGGGTGATTGAAGCAATATAGGAGTTCACTTTCACGTAAAGGTACCACAATCGATTTCGAATGTGCGGTGACTCTGACTCACAAGATGCCATCCCCTCCGGAGACCTGTTCTTTGATGTCTAGTATACCTCAAATCATTGCCTACCTACCAACTTCCTGAACCCTAAGCGATAAACCCTTGACTTTCAGTGTTGAAGGCATATGTTGTAGGCATACTTGGGTTCTTGGGAGATGATGAATCTGGTTATAATGGGTCCCCTACCGTGCATGGCATTTGCCCGAAGTAAGGGGACCCCAATAGACATCCAAACTGCGACAGTCCTTGTTCTGTGGACCCCCTAGAAGGTACTCATAATTTTGGGAGCCCCCCATGTAGGTCGTAAGTGCGGCTGTCTTCTGTAGGAGACGCACATGTGTCAAAGAAAAGAGGAAAGCAATCGCCACAGGTTCTGCAAATGTGATGTTGGGCCATTGAGGACCCAGAGATATCTAGATACTTCAAATGGACCACGTGGCTTAGGGTTTAGGGTGGCTGTGAGGGGATCCCGCTTCAGGATTCCACAATCGCAGGATCCAAGCCTCAGCCCGCGCCCGTACAATCCTCATTACCTTCAGCCACGCCTGTGCCTTTGACTAAACCCCAAGCGCCTTCACAGGTCTCGGATAGGTACTTCCCTGGTTGAGATTCCTGAGCTGTGGTAAAGTAACTTCTCTGACCTCCAGCCAGAATAGCACAAATAGGGTTTGGGGTTTAGGACCTAGGCTAATTGGAGAGCCATGGGTAGTGTACGTGGAAGTATTTGGGACACCTATACTGTCAACCGAGTTTAGAGGAACTTAAAAGTTACTTATGCCTACACGCAATCCCTTAATTCACCTATACAATCTTTCAAACCGTGTTCATTCTCGCTGTATGTCCCTGCCTGCTCCCTACATAATCCTTACTTTTATTCTGAAACTCTGTATTTACACACCCACCCCAAAATGGACCCTAAATAAGAACCCAGATCAGAGCTTGTTTAGGCTATCTTGTACGCAGAGGGTAGCATGAAGCAGGGCCCGGGTACCTTTACAACTAGAACTACCCATAAACCCATACTCTCCTTCCAAAATCTTTCTTTGAATCTTTAAAAGTACCTGCATAATCCCTACATCCTGCTTACCATCCCTGCTACCAGACGGAGACCCTGAACATTATCCCCATTTCTCATGAAGACTCCCATAATTTCTTCATGCATTCCTATATCTTATGGTGTCCATGGGACCCCTTTCTGAGAAACCCCCATAACAAGCCATAGCCCCATCAGCTGTAAATTCCGGTGTATCCTAACACCACCCCCCCCCCCCCCCATATATGAGCCATTGTCTAAACTCCTAGC